AGTAGAGGAAGATGGGTACAGATGTTAGCTCAGGGCCAGTCTTCCTTGGCAAAAAGAGGAGGATTGGCAGCAGATGTCAGCTCAGGGCAAATCTTCCTCAAAAAAAAAAAAAGAAAAAGAAAAAGAAAAAAGAGCCATGCAATATACCCAAACAGAATCATTTTGGGAACTTGTGTGCTGCCTTTAGTGTGATTTGGACTTAACCAGAACATTTAAGTTGAAGTTCTGCTTCTTTCCCTTACTAGCTGGGTGACCTTGGGTAAATCCCTTAGCTGTCTTGATGCTCCATTTCCCAACCTGACGAATGTGTATTATAATGCCAGTTTCATAGGGATTCTGTTGAAAGGGTAGAAATGATAATATTCTTGGAAGAGCTTTGTACACGGGAAAATATTGTACACACAAAGTCTCTGCTTTGATGTTCATAGGGCTGAGTCGTCTAGAAGTATAGCATTGCCTGTTTTCACACATCTTAATGAATGAAGTTGGTAAAGAGGATAATCAAGGGCCATGGGTATTAAAAAAGAAAGGAAACAGAAGAAATAATTGGTTTCAAAACCTGGACAAGAACCAGAAATGGAAGCTGGAGTTTTGAACGTTGACGTTGGAGCAAGAGATTTGTCAGGAGACCAGGGCTTCAGCTTAATAATTATTCCCTCCTCAGAGCCATTACCCTGGGCCTTATTAAGTGAAGTTAGGACCTTTAGGGATCTATATGTGGGCATAATATAATAATTCTCAAATGACACTGTGTGACCTTAAGGCATAATCATCAGACTCGAGAATCAAGTAGAATTTTCATTAAACTAACTCTAACAAAGAGAACTCATAATAACTAGAAACAAAGACTCAGCACAAATCTAAATAAAGGATGCCACTTCCCAAATATTGAGGTCAATAGTTCAGGGATATTTTTTTGTTTCATGCATTGGCAAAACTCATTTTTAAGAGTCTGCACAATTTTATATTCTTTTCCCTCTTTCTCATGCCTTACAAAGCCATAGTATCTTGGTTATTTTATTCCTCGGATTCTCAATATCTTGGAAAAATAAATATATGTTTTTTCCTAGTGGTAAAATAAACAATTCTATTAGCTCCTTATGGCAGTCCAAATGTCAATCTCTGTCTACACTCTTCTCCAATTCTTATCCTAGGAAACTGAAACTTATCCTTCCTCACGTGCTCCAATGCCACGTCATCTGTGAAGGCTTGCTTGCTTACCCCACACTGTAATTCACTCTCCCCATGCCTCTCACAGCACTTTATTCATATTTCAGCTTTAGCCTCTGTTGCATCAAATCATAGTTGTTCGTTAACGTGTTTGTTACTCCCTCGACTGTAAGCTCCTTAAAGAGAAAAGCATGTTTTTTTTCCATTTTTAGGTCTCAGGACCTCACAAAATATCTGATGTTGGGTATGAGATGAAATTAGAAGGGAGATGGGAAGAACTCAGTGCCTGAATACCTGGCCTCATTTTTGACCTGCATCTCTTCTCTGAACTGGATGTCTGTCCAAAAGACAGAGCCAAGAAAAAGGTAGTCTCTTGATTATCATTCATCTCTTTTGTTTGCCTACTTCCATCTTCCTTTATTGCTCCAGTCCCTCATTTCTTTGATCTTCCCTCTCTTCTCACCTGTAATAAACAAAAATGTTCACAGTGTAAACAAATAAAGCAATACATGGATTATAATATGAAGTATAAAATAAATATTCCTGATTATATGCTGATATAAATACATAATTGAATAAAAATTTAAATGGGGAAGAATAGACAAATTTCCGATTCAGCAGAATTCCAAATAATTTATGTAGATACTTCCCCCTCAACTTAGGGAAGTGTAGCTCCCTACTCCTTAAGTGTGGGCTGACTATGGTAATTTCCTTCCAAAGAATGTAACATGGGAAGGGAGAAGAGAAAGTAAGTTTACACTGGAGAAACCTGACAAACACCACCTCTGCGAGATGATCAGTCAATATCAATAGTGACGTCATGTTTATGTTATATACCATTGATATGATGTATGAAAATGACACTTTACTCTGTGATTTTCTTCCAAAAATTCATAACTTCTTGTCTAAGCATCAGACAAATTCAATTTGAAGGATGTTCTACAAAATACCTGACCAGGATTCGTCAAGAATGTCAAGGTTATCAAAAACAAAGAAAGTCTAAAAAACTCGTAGCTGAGAAGAACCTATAGACATGTGATGACTAAATGTAATGTGGTCTCCTGGCTAGGATCCTTGAACAGAAAAGGAATATTAGGTAAAAAATAAGATAATCTGAATAAACTAGGAACTTTGGTTAATAATAATGTGTCAATATTGGTGAATTAATTATGATAAATGTCCTATAATAATGTTAATAATAGGGGAAACTGAGCACGGTGTATACACATTCAGTCTTATCTAAAGTAGATATCCCCCCCTCAATTAATTCCTATTGAGTTACCATGTTTATTGCTTTCATAGCAATTATTGCAGTCTATAATTATCTTTTTATTTGTTTACTGTATGCCTCTCCCATCAGATTGTAAACTCCGCGAGGGCAAAGATCTTCTCTGTTCATTCACTGCTGCGTTCTCAGTATGTTCCAGGTTGCCACACATAGGAGATACGCAATAAATAACTGTTGAAAGAAGGAAGGAATTATTGTTAGTTGTAACCAAGACTTGTAGGGTCATTGCAACTGGAGCAGAATTAACTCATTACATGACATTATAAATAGAACATACTTCATGCTTTCTCTAAAAAGAGGTAGTGGAGAAATTGCCTTTGATCTGGTCTCCCTCTCTCCCTCCCTCCCTCCTTTCTTTCTTTCAATAATTAAAAGAATAATATCCCCAAGCACCTTGTGAAGTATGAATAACATGATGTTGCCTGGGGTTTCTTCTTGGAAGATGTGTAAATAAGGGTGCTAAGGTACATTTGTTCATCCTAGGAAATTTCTCACTTCTCTTAGTACCTTAATTAAGTCAACTGGAAAAAATACACATTACCACAGATGTACACCATAGGAGACACAGACTTTCTCCATGGAGAGGTTGTCACTGAAACAGAAGCATCTAGCTACTAAGGATAAAGATAGTCTCTCTCTGTGCTCAGCTGGGGGTTTCCCCATCCTGGGATCACTAAAAGAAAGGTTGTGATAAAGAGGCTGGGAAACTGGAAAGACAGTCACAAAAAAATAGTTGAATGTTAGGCCCTGGGCACAGTGCATCTTTCTATATGTTTAATGAAGAACAGTGGTGGGCAACTAAGAAAGAATTTTATATGATCTGTTTCAGTCTTTGAAGTATTTCTGTACTTTGATTGGTGTGTTCAGTTTCTTCCATTAGGTTATTTAGCCTGAACTTCTCCAGATGATTTTTTTTTTTAGTGCCACCAGTTCATTGTTGGAAGTTTTATGAGATGTTCAAAGATATATTAGACATGGTCTCTGCCATCCATGAGATCAGCATCTGACTTGGGAGATAAAACACACAGGAATGAAATGTTTCCCTAATAATAAAGTCCAAGGTGAGACTGTCCCTTGAAAGGGATATTGTCATAGTTAGAGGAGGGAGGACAAGAAGAGTAAGGTAAGGCTTCACAGTGGAGGCAAAAACTGAGCTGGCCCTGAAAGGATAACTGTGAATTAATGATTAATAAATTAATTCAATATTTTTGAAATTCTAGGCACCACACTAGCAGAAATAGCTTTTTCTTCCAAAAAGGTTACAGTATACTGGAGGGAGATAAATAGGACACTACAGCGTTACAGATGCTGTGATGGAGTTATATACAAGGTACAGAAGGAACACAGGGGGACAATGTAGTCACTTGTCCTGGATGGGGAGGGTGGTCAGGAAAGCCTTTTTAGATGAAGTGTGGCTGAGCTGAATAGCTCAATAAAAAACACATCTCCTTAAAAGATATGTAATAGGAAAGAATGGTGGTATATCACTTAGAGTTTAACCATTCTCCTTATTTTAAACAGAAAAGATTGAGTGCTGTGAGATAGGTGCTTAACGAATCATTGAAAGGGATGGAGAACTGGGGTCTAGGCTGGGACTCTAGGAAAGAGTCCTCTGCAGCACAGAACTGGCCACCCAGATGAAGCACCACATTTATCTGAAAGAGCCTGGGGATTCAAGGAGTCCCCATTGATGGAGTTTTTGGCTACAGAGCCATACTCCTTCTGTTAGACTCTCAGCAGTAAAATGGATGCCTCATTCTCAGGACACCTCTCTCTCCAGGTTACTCAGTTTTAATTCATGTCTTGGAGTGCATCTGGTTGGTGGAAACTAGATTACATTCTAAATTTCTAGGAAGTCCAGGAGTTTTCAGCTTTTTAGGTTCTAAAGTGTGTGAAGACTCACCAGATGGTGGTTGGAACAGATGATGCACACACCAAGTTGACATGTCCTCCACAAGTTGCACACTGACCTCAAATGACAAAGACCATCTAGTACCATACTCTTGGGTAAGTAGGCTGTCTAACCGGACTGGCGAATTACAGATCAGAAAATTGTCTCACACCAGTTAAACACTTCGAGGATATTCAAGTGTGTAATGTTTAATTAACACACACACATACACACACACACAACATAGTTGGTTATCTGCTGTCCCCACTGATTTATTTGATCTTTTATTGAGATATAATTGACAAATGACATTATATTAATTTCAGGTGTACAACATAATGATTCACTATTTGCATATATTTCAAAATGATCATCACAAGTCTAGTTAACATGCATCACCACACGTATTTACAATTTTTTTCTTATGATGAGAGCTTTTAAGATCTACTGTCTTAACAACTTTCAAATATACAATACAGTATTATTAACTATAGTCACCATGCTGTACCTTATATCTCCATGACTTATTTATTTTATAACTGGAAGCTTGTACATTTTGACTCCCTTTACCCATTTCACCTACCCCCTACCCTCCACCTCTGGCAACCATTAATCTGTTCTCTGCATTTGTGAGTTCAGTTTTTTATTTTTAAAAATATGGAATGCTTCATGAATTTGAATGTCATCTTTGCACAGGGACCATGCTAATCTTCTCAGTGTCATTCCAATTTTAGTATATGTGCTGCAAAGTGAACACTCATTAATTTTAAATAATGAGAAAGTCACACGGCAACATCTGACTTTCAAAAGACCTCAGAATGAAACCGCTTTTGGGAGGGAGTGTTTCCCAAGTCAGATGCCCACAGAATCCTAGCACTTGGTCTTTCTGTCCTACTTAGGAGAAGAGAAGGGCAACAGCTATTTCATTTGTTCTTGCCCAGGTTGTTCTTTCACTTGCTGATTAGGAAGAAGCTAAGTATCTATTACCATCAGAGTTGGAGAACACTGCAGAAGCCTGTTGAATGTGAGGAGAATTGGCCAGAGCATTGATAGAAGTAAAGAGAACGTGGGAGAATTAATGAATCAAAGTCAGTTCTTGAAGATATCTTAAATATTAACAAGCTTAATCCTCTTATTTTGTAGATACTGAGACTGAGGCTTGAAGGATGACAGTGACTTTTCCAGTTTACAGCTCCTAGAAACCATGTCTCCTGAATCTCAGTCCAATGATATCCCTTCCAGAGAAGCAATGATAGATGCTTTGATGCCCGATGCACTCCTTGCTGCCTGTTGCAATAACCCAGAACTCTTCTCATCTTTTCACAGTCCCAGAGATTCCTCAAATATTCTGCTTTCCTCTGTCAGCCCTATCCCCATATCCTCATGTGATTTGTTTTTTCCAGTGTTTTTTGACTCACCTTTTCTTCATTATTTTCCACTCTGGATAACAGAACTCTTTCCTCTGCTTCTAAACACTGCAATACCACAAAAGGACGACAAGAAAAATTAGAGACTACTTTGGATTTTTTTTCTGGGTGTAATTGCAGAGTATGCCTGTCCATTTAGCTCTCTGTAACTATTGGAATAAAATGGAGCAACATTAATAACATCAGTTTTACAGCAAGTGAAAGTTACAAATTCTCAAAATTTTCTACGAGTGATTGAAGTTTAAAGATATCCTTGCCCTCAACAAAATATTAGCAAATCAAATACAACAATACATTAAAAGGGATCACATACCACAATCAAATGGGATTTATTCCAGGGATTCAGGGATGGTTTAAAATCTGCAAATAAATCAATGTGATACACCACGTTAACAAAATGAAAAATAAAAGTCACATGATCATCTCAACAGATGCAGAGAAAGCATTTGACTAGCTCCAACATCCATTTATGATAAAAAAAACCTCTCAATAAAATGGGTACAGAAGGAAAGTACCTCAACATAATAAAGGCCCTATATGACAAACCCATAGCCGACATCATACTCAATGGTGGAAAACTGAAAGCCGTCCCTTTGAGAACAGGAACACGACAAGGATGCCCACTCTCACCACTCTTATTCAATGTTGTACTGGAAGTTTTGGTCAGAGCAATTAGGTAATAAAACTAAATAAAAGGCAGCCAAAGTGGAAAGGAAGAAATAAAACTGTCACTATTTGCAGATGACATGATTCTATATATAGAAAACCCTAAAGAATCTACCAAAAAACTATTAGAAATAATAAAAAAATGCAGTAAAGTTGCAGGTACAAAATGAACATACAAAAATCAGTTGCATTTCTATGCACTAACAGCAAAATAGCAGAAAGAGAAATCAAGAATACAATTCCATTTATAATCACAACAAAAAGAACAAAATACCTAGGAACAAATTTACCCAAGGAAGTAAAAGATCTATACACTGAAAACTATAAGAGATTATTGAAAGAAATTGGAGAAAATATAAAGAAATGGAAAAATATTCCATGATCATGGATTGGAAGAATAAACATAGTTAAAATGTCCATATTACCTAAAGCAATCTACAGATTCAATGAAATCCCAATCAGAATCCCAAAGACATTCTTCATGGAAATAGAACAAAGAATCCTAAAATTTATATAGAACAATAAAAGATCCCAGATAGCCAAAACAATCTGAGAAAAAAGACCAAAGTTCGAGGTATCATACTCCCTGAATTCAAAATATACTACAAAATTATAGTAATCAAAACAGCATGGTACTGGCAGGAATACAGACACACAGATTAATGGAACAGAGTTGAAAGTGCAAAAATAAAACCACACTTCTATGGACAGATAATCTTTGACAAAGGAGCAAAGAATATACAGTGGAGAAAGGAAAGTCTCTTCAATAAATGTTGTTGGGAAAATTGGACAACCATGTGCAAAAGAATGAAAGTAGACCATTATTTTGCATGACACACAAAAATTAACTCAAAATGGATTAGACTTGAATGTAAGACCTGAAGCCATAAAACTCTCAGAAGAAAATATAGGCAGTACACTCTTTGACATTGGTATTAGCAGTATGTTTTCAAATACCATGTCTACTCAGGCAAGGGAAACAAAAGGAAAAATAAACAAGTGGGACAACATCGGACTAAAAACCTTCTGCACTGCAAAGGAAACTATTGACAAAATGAAAAGACAACCTACCAATTGAGAGAAAATATTTGCAAATCATATATCTGACAGGGAGTTAAGTTCCTAAATATGTAAAGAACTCATACAACTCAACAACAGAAAAAACAAACCACCTGATCAAAAAATGGGCAGAGGATATGAGCAGACATTTTTTTTCCAAAGAAGATATATAGATGACCAACAGGCACATGAAAAAATGTTCAACATCGCTAATTATTAGGGAAATGCAAATTAAAACTACAAGGAGATATCACCTTACACCCATCAGAATGTTTATAATTAGCAAGACAAGAAATAATAAGTGTTTGAGAGGATGTGGAGAAAAGAGAACCCTCATACACTGCTCGTGGGAATGCAAACTGGTGCAGCCACTATGAAAAACAGTATGGATATTTCTCAAAAAATTAAAAATACAAATACCATATGATCCAGCTATTCCACTATTGGGTATTTATCCAAAAAACATGAAATCAGTAACTCAAAAATATTTATGTACCCCTATGTTCATTGCAGCATTGTTCCCCATAGCCAAGACACGGAAGCAACCCAAGTGCCCGAAAAATGATGAATAGATAAAGAAGATGTGGTATATATATATACAATGGAATACTACTCAGCCATAAAAATTTGTGACAACATGGATGGACCTTGACAGTATTATGCTAAGCAAAATAAGTCAGACAAAGTCAAATACCACATGATTTCGCTCATATGTGGATAAGATAAACAGACAAACAAATAGATAAGGAGAACAGATTAGTGGTTACCAGAGGAGAAGGAGATGGGGAGAGGGCGAAAGGGATAAAGGGGCACGTATGTACAGTGACAGATAAAAACTGGACTGTTGGTGGTAAACACAATGTAGACTATATAGAAACTGAAATATAGTAACGTATACCTGAAATTTACACAATCTTGTAAGCCAATATGACCTCAGTATAATAATTTTAAAAAACCCTTGCTATGGGGCTGGCCTAGTGGCGCAGTGGTTAAGTTCGCATGTTCCACTTCGGTGGCCCGGGGTTTGCCGGTTCAGATCCCTTGTGTGGACATGGCACCGCTTGGCAAGCCATGCTGTGGTAGGCGTCCCACATATAAAGTAGAGGAGGATGGGCACGGATGTTAGCTCAGGGCCAGTCTTCCTCAGCAAACAGAGGAGGATTGGCAGCAGTTAGCTCAGGGCTAGTCTTCCTCAAAAAATAAATAAATAAAATAAAATAAAATAAAATAAAATAAATCCTTGCTAAAATTGGATCCAATATAGCAAAGTATGTGATCTTCTTTTAATGCACAATAATAATAACTACCCACTTCCTTCAAATGGATATTTTATAGTCCTCATTTGTATTTTTCATTATCTGTAGTTTTTAGGGAACACAGGATTTACAGATATAGAATCAAATAAAACATTAAAAAATTAGTATTAGCAATAAATGTTTCAAAAAAGTTTTTAATAAAAACGCACACTTATTAGTAACATTTAAAAAATCTGAAAAAACAGGAAAAAGTTATCTCCAAAGAAAGTCCTGCTCAATTCCATAGATATTTATGGAGTACCAGCACTGTGAAAGGAGCAGTGAAGAATATAAAGAACAGAAAAAAGGTAAAGCACAATCTTTTTGTATAAAGAGCATACAATTTTTATGAAAGGCAAGACACCTTCCCCAGATGTAATTTATCTCTTGATATTGAATCAACTGGGTCTAATAAACGCTACCCACTGTACTAGATACTGGGAATTCAAAGATGAGTGCCACATTCTCCATTCCCAAGGAACTCACAACTATTGAAATATTTCTTTTCCCATTCAGATGGTATAAAAAAAAATTATGAACTACTAGTGGATTTCAAAAGAGCAAGATAGACAACTCAGTGCCAATCCCTAGTAAAATTCTGGAAATGCATGATTAAACAGGTCATTTTTAAGCATTTTGAAAAGCCTGGCGATTACTAAGAGCCCGTATGAAGTGACCCAAGATAAATCCTGCCAAATGCACCTTATTTTTAAAATAAGGCTTCGAAATGGTTAGGGTTATACAAGTGCTGTATGAAAGGATTTGATATGCTTCCTGCGATATCCTTCTTGGAGAGAGGGTTTATTATAGATTGGATGGTGAATTGGTTATATTTTGCTGCAAAACAAACCATTCCAAACTTAATGGCTTAAAATATCAATGAGTTTATTTGCCCATGTTTCTGTGGGTCAGCATTTTGGGCTAGCTCAGCTGGGCAGTTCTTCTGGTCTTACTGGAGTCACTAATGTGGCTGCAGTCTTCTGGTGGGTTGACTGGGTTGCTTTAGGGAGCCTCAACTTGATGGCTTCTCTCTGCTCCACAGGTTCTCGTCCTAGCCTTGGCTTCTTCACGTGGCAGTCTCAGGGCAGCAAGAGAGGATAGTTCCCAAAGGGTAAGTGTGAGCCTCTGCTTGAAACACATTTGCCAATGTCCCATTGGCCAAAGCAAGTCACATAGCCATGAGGAGAGGGGACCATCTAAAGGTATGGATACAGGAAAGTGGGATTCACTATGGGGATCATAATTGTGACAATGTACCACAGATGGTATTAATTGAACATATTTCTATCTAGTTGGACAACAATTTCCAAAGAGGACTACCATAGATGCTGCATTCAGCCTGTCCTATTCTAGATATTTATTAATGATTTGGATGAAGGAAATAAAATATGATTATAATTTTGACCAGGACGCAAAACTATGATGAATAAAATAAACTCTGAAGATAACTTTGGCTTTTTGGATCAGTTGGCCAAAACCAATAAAAACACAGTATATCAGTGTGAAATGAAAAGTCCTACATCTATGTTAGTAAAATAAATTATGGTCAGGCAGAATTAAAAGCTATATGAAAACTATGTGGAGGTTTTATTTGATACTAAATTTTTGAGGCTAACATGATCAAGATGAATTAATGAAAATATAGTCCACAGGTCATGAAAAGTAACAGTTCCCCAGAATGAAATATTCCCAGTGTATTGTGTTGATTTCTGGGTGAAATATTCCCAGTGTATTGTGTTTATTTCTGGGTGAAAATCTGTAGAAGGGTATGGAGCCAGAGAAAATCTAAAAAGTGGCTGGTATGATGAGAGGGTTCAAATATAATCTCCTGAAGAAAAGTTGATAGAGTGCTTGCTCTAGAGAAAAGGGACTGATGACTGTAGAAGATGCAAAATCTGTCCTAATACATGTGAAGAGCTGTCATGTAGAAGAAAGCTCTAGAGGCTAAAAACAGAATTCACGGGAGGAAGTAGTTTGTAGATAGATGTTAGCTCAAGATGAGGAGCTAACTTTAACAACTCGAGTTGTCCAACAAGAAATGAAGTATCTTACAAGTTAATGGTCTGTCTCCTTGGAAGGTCATGCAGAGTCTGGAACACAGAGATGCTGTAGAAGAGATTCATGAGGAATCCAAGATTCAATGATGCCCGCTTTGTTCTTCTCCTATATTTCCACTTATTAAATTAAATAAGATTTTCCTCCATTTTTGTTATCCTTTTTATTACTGGAGTGCTCTTTAAAAGTTATGAAGAGAATCATGAGTTTTCATTTTGGTTAACGAAACAAAAAACTTTAAAAAAAGTCCCACTTCCTTTGGCTAACTTCAGTGCTTTTTCTGCCATTCAGGACCTGCTGGCCAATATTTAGAACATAATATTATGATCTTGGAAGGAACACATGGAAACTTCTAGTTCAACTCTGCCATTTCAGAAATAACGAAGGTGAAGCCCAGAGAGACAGAGAGCCTTGCCTGAGGTTACACGTACTCCTACTGGCAGAGCAAGCCTCGAACAAGGAGTGTGGCATTGTAAGAAGACAGTGCAGTCTCTAGATTTCTAAAAACTGTGTTTTCATTGTGGATATGTCTTTTATTAGCCATCTTAGTTTCTTGTCTAAAAAATGAAGACAGTGATACTTACCACAGGCTAAGTGAGATAACCCATATAAAGTGCCCAGTATACAATAGGTGTCCAAGAAATGTTGATGCTCCTTCTTTCATGCCCAGGACATCATGTTGCCCTACGTGATGTAGCTATATTTCAATTAGACAATAGTATTCATTTCCTCTGGTGCTCCTAGAATAATGGGCCATGTCTCATTTTGATGAAGACATTCCCGGCTCACGCATGTCATCCCAGCATAACTATTAATAGCATCCCACTTCACTCTCAAAAGTGATCCAATTTTAAAAAGTCATAGGATCATCCTACCTAGAACTTTTTCAGGGCTTTTTTTAGGGCATCTTTTAGTTCCCTGTTCCTCATACTATAGATCAAGGGGTTTAAAATGGGAGTGATAAAAGTGTAGACCACGGACACCACCCGGCCCATCTCAGGAGAGTAACTGGAACTGGGGGACAAGTATATGAAGCTGGTGCAGCCGTACTGCAGGAGGACCACTAAGATGTGAGAGGAGCAGGTGGAGAAGGCTCGGCGGCGCCCTTCTGCTGACCGGATCCTCAAAATGGCTGCCACGATGAAGACATAGGAGATGGAGATCAGCGAGAGGGGGATGCTTAGGACGATGAAGCTGATAATATACAGGGCAGTCTTGTGAACACGTGTATCTGCACAAGCCAGGCGCATGACTGCAGGCATGTCACAGTAGAAGTGATAGATTTCATTGCTGTTGCAGAATGGAAGATGGAAGATTAAAATTGTCAGTGGCATCGACAGCAAAAACCCCAGCACCAGGGACCCTCCCATCAGCTCCACACACAAGGGCCAGCTCATGATGAGGGTGTATCTCAGAGGGTAACAGATTGCTGTAAACCGGTCATAAGCCATGACTGCAAGCAGGACACAGTCAGCCCCACCCAAGAAGACAAAGAAAAACATCTGGGTGCCACATCCAGTGATGGAAACAGGAGTTTTGCCCATTGAAATAAGGTTTGCCAAGGCCAGTGGGGCGATGGAAGATGTATAGAAGATTTCCAGAACTGCCAAGTTAGCCAGGAAAAAGTACATGGGAGTGTGGAGGGAGTGGTTGATCTGGACAATGACTGCAATTGTGGCATTTCCACTGAGGCTGGTCAGGTACATCACCAGGAAAGCCACAAAAATCACCACCTGTACTGTAGGATCAGCCGAGAATGGATGAAAGAAGAATCGAACATCTGCAGTTTTGTTTATTTCTTCCATGGATAGTATATTGGACCTATGAAAAGGAAAGGTGACAGGAGACTATAGGCATCTCTCACTCAATATGAAGCTTTCTCAACTCCTCCATTCAGTGTTGGAGCACTTTCTGAGGTACCTCAGCAATTATGTGCACACTTTCATTTTAGAGCAGATTATGTAATATTATAATTTACACACTTGCCATCCCCTCATCTTTCCTCCTCTACCCTCAGGTACCAAAGACTGAGAAATCCTCAACTGATGATCTTTGTTTTGATTCTGGTGCCTAGTACAGTGCCTGATATAGAAAGCTTTCCAAGAAATGTGTGCTGAATGAATTAATGAACAAATTCAATTTAAAGTTAAAGTTAAAAGTTACCAAATGGATAAAACAGGGTATCAATTCAATGTGTGAAACTTGAAATAAAAAATTTTAGGAAAGTATAAGTAGATGCATGCCACAATTTAAATAAAATTATGCTACTGGTACAGTGTGATGTTGCATCACAAACTGTAATTTAGCTCAAAATCTAGAGACTTTATTGATTCGTTCTGCTTACTCTCCTTTATCCAACTTGTTCCTGAATGTTGATAGTTTGTCCTTCAAAAGTTTCTCAGGGGCCAGCCCCATGGCTGAGTGGTTAAGTTGGCACACTCCACTTCGGCAGCCCAGGGTTTCTCCGGTTCAGATCCTGGCCATGGGCATGGCACCACTCATCAGGTCATGCTGGGACGGCATCCCACGTGCCACAACCAGAGGCACTCACAACTGGAATATACAACTATGTATTGGGGGGGGGGGGCTTTGGGAGAAGAAGAAGAAGAAGAAAAAAAAGGAAGATTGGCCACAGATGTTAGCTCAGGTGCCAATCTTTAAAAAAAAATTCTCATATCTATTATTTTGTTTTTTTCCCACTGCCCCAATCCATTCTATCCATTGTTACTGTATATTTGGATTCCTGTGTTAGCCTCCTATCTAATCTCCCACTTCTCTTCCCTCTATAATTCATCTTGCTCTTCATCACCATATTATTCAACTGCTTAGAATTTTTCAGTGCCTTCCTATTGCTTAAATGACAACTTCACACTCCTCTGCTGATTATTCCAATCTCTCTCGGATCTGACATTTTTAGGCTAATCCCACTGATGCCCTCAATTACCCCTGTTCTGTGCCATATGGTCTACTCATTGGCCTCTTATCCATCATTCTCCTTTCCGCTTTGCATACTTCTATTCTTCTTCCAGTTAGAAATCTTGTCTTCTCTCTTTTCCTAATCCAAACCCGGCCCAATTTTCAAATGTTAGATTATGTTTTTCTTTCATGAAGTCTTCTTAGGCTACTCTAGTTTAAATCTCTCCCTCCTTTCTCAACATTGCTCATAGTGCTATGATTTTAGTGCTAACACACTGTCTTTTACTGTATCTTTATGTCCTGTCCCAAATTATAGTCTAGGTTCCCTGAGGACAGTGGCTCTATCTTATGACAAATTATGATTTATGCCGTGTTAAGTGCTAGGCATGGGGAAAGTACTCTATATGCATTAGCTCACTTAATCCATAAAACCACTTTAGGAGGCCAGTACAATTATTATCCCATTTTACAGATGAAAACTTAGGCTTAAAGAAGTTAAGAGATGGTTTGAAGTCACATTGGTAGAAAATAGGAGAGCCAGGATTTGAATACAGTATATTTAACCGCAGAGCTCTTGTGCTTAATCTTAGTTTATGCTGTGTTGCCTCCCTCTATACTTTATATCCCCTAGGTGGCTCTGTTATTTGATTGATTATATTTCAGCCATAGGTAGAACTGTAGATGGTCTATTGGAAAAAGAATACCAGAGATCTGAGACCAGAAATATTGGATTACAGTATTTCCAGACTTGAGGGGCATAGCTACAATCTGGATCCTGGTTAATCTAGTAAATGCTGCCCCTGCCAGTGCAACAAAAAGAATTTCCCTTCTTTCTCTCATAAGGAGCATGGGGGAAGTGGTTTAAAATTGTGACGTCTTGGGTGAAGATGCAGGGAGAGTGGTTTAATTCATCCTTCATGAGAGAGAGCATGGGAACAGAGAGAAGCCAGAATCCTCTGTGACCCAGGGCCTCAAGTCCTGAGTGATGCTCAAAGAGTTTTCATAGGTGCCTGCACTTTTAATCTCCTGCCTCTTGGTGGCTAAAAGTCTAGTCCCCAAACTAAGACAGTAGCTTTGGGTTGAGTCAAGCATATACAGGTGATGCAAATGAATTACTCAATTAATAAGGACGTTAGAGATAAAAAGTCCCAATGGTGCCTTCTGTTCATGTTCTCAGTTGCCACCTCCTTGGGCTCAGGAAGTCCACTCTACCTCTTGGGCATAAATCCACCTCATCTCTTCAAAGCACTTGTGTCTCAATGTATTGCGTAGCCTGCATTGGCTTCTTTTCATTCAATGTCTAGAAAAGGGAAGAGGAAATCAAACATGGAGAAATACTGTGAAATCCAGGGTACTGCATGAGAAATTCAAGTACCACATTATCCATTATATTATCTAGCTATTCTCTCAATTTCTTTATGCAAAAGTTTCCCACTTGTTGTGGTCTCTTTATAGTGACAAGATAAAGATGCAAGTTTGGTTCTACTGGAAGCTATATCAACTATAGCTTATATGAGATGCCTTTGCTATTGCAAAAAAGAATCCAACTAGACACATGTTTCAAAAGATGGTCTGGAATGCTCAGAAATTCCTTTTATATAATAACAAAATATTGAACCATATGTTGGGCATCATGCAAACAAATAACTGAATGTTTTGCTGACTTCATTCTTTATATAAATCTAGAGGGAGGATAGTGGTTATTTGGATCCATGCATGCTTCCTAAACTATAATGTACGCATTCTAGAATCTAGAGGGTACAAATCTGTGTCCAGGACAAAGTGAAGTCCCAGGGTCAATATGGCGCAACTTTTTTAAAAGGTCAATTTTAGCTTGAAATTTTTGGAAAATGATTTCATATAAAAACTGTGGAGATAGTATACATAGAAGAAATATCTGTATGAATTATGGGGGACAAACGCATAAGATTTCCGGGAGATTTCTTGTTTGTGACTGATCACCAAGTCCTTAGGAATATAAATTGTCTCTCTGACTAATTAGAGAACTTAAGTAGGAAAGTCTTAGATGTACTGATTTAGACCATAGATTGGCTACTACCCAGTGGAAAATGTAATTCCTTGAACTTCCCGAATATAAAATCTCGACTGGGAACAGCTCCTCCCTTATTATTCCAAAGAGAACAACTAAGGTAGTAGTTAACATTTTCTAAGATAGGTATGGCCCAGAGAAAGTTCCCAGGAGATAACTAGTCTTTGAAAAGATGGTACATCATCTCTTGAGACTGTTTCCCATCATACGACCAAGAACATGGCTCCATGAATTCTTTGTCCTTTGTGTAATCCCTGTACAAGTTGCTTAGTGGCTACAGAAGGTCACAGATGCCCCAGAATCGGAGCTTTGCCAGGTTATCTGGTCCATCACTTCCAAAGCAATTGCCTGACTTGTTGCACAAGTAAATGATTCTTTAGTTCATCATTTAAATATAGAAGTTACTATAGGGGATGCAAAGATGGTTGAGATGTCATCTACTCTATGGAGTCATAGGGACAAGACTGTCAGCTAGATTGTCCCTTATTCTTGTTCTGTTTTCAACACCTTTGCACCCTCCCTTGCCAGTTTCTCTCAATTTAAATTGCAGACAACATTTTACAACAAGGGGAAAATATGTAGTCAAAAAGCGGTCTTTTAACTGTCAATAAACTGTCTCTGTTTATATAATTAGATTCTAAGAGAATGCATTTATAAAAAAGCATATAAATTTGGGGGAGATGATGCTTTCAAGAAAGATGGTGGAGAGTAGGCTATGTTGGAATGGAATGATGTGTATTCAAGTTCCAGCTTTGCAACTTAATACTTTTGTGATCTTGTTCTGTCACTGCCCTCTCTAAGATTCCATTTGCTCAGAATAACAACTTACTACTTCACAAGACTGTTGCGAAGTGTAAATGAAATAACATCCATAAGAAAACCTGCTGGAATGCCTGGCACATATTATTTGCTCATTAAAGTATATTGATTCATTGATTCCTTCATTATCAATCCTGAGACTGAAAAATATTTAAATTACTGCTGAGTGGATGAAATGCCTGGCGGGCCTATCTAAAATTTTCTCGATGAGATTTTGTGTCACATCTCGTTCCATAGTCTCCCACGTCACCTTATATTGCAGAATCTCTCTTTAAGTAGGGTGAAGCATGATCAGTTTCATCTACTTATAAACTGGTCGTTACAGTTAAAAGATAGCTTATATAAAATGTCCTGGTTTTAGGTTTATCTACATGGCCTGATTGGCCTGGATGGTATATCTATTAGTCCAATTTGGACTCACCTGAAGAGGAAAATAAAATCTTTACTTGGGCGTTTTGATTGTAGGATGAACAGAAAAGGAAGAATAATGTTATAACGATTATCCACAGGGCAAAAGCCCTGCTTGGAGCATAGGTATTTGTGGTTTCTGGAGATGCTCACACTAGCTGGAGGATCTATTCCTACTTATTCAAAGAAAATGTTCCAGTGTCAGGTGTACTCAAGCGAAAACATATATTTGTCCTTACAAGACATTCTTGAATGACATTTTCTGTATGTCTGAATGTATATGAATTTCATATATGAATTCATAAATATTCATAAGATGAAATTCAAATTTCATGTATGTCTATATATTTGAAGAGATTATATATCTGAAGAGACTATTTGCTTTCTGGAAGAGACTCCTATGAGTATTTTCTGGCGCAGCGTCTGGAAAGAAAGAGAGCCAACTTCGTATCCCTTTACTGATGATATGTTGAATCACATGGAATTTGTTTCTGAAGGTCAACTGTGGTAGCATATAGACATTTTCACAGGATTCAACATAAGACACTTACAAGCATATTTTGAGTATATTAAATGAAATATTCAGACATTCAATAAAAAGTTCTTCTTCTACTGCATAATAATGGGTAGCATTTATTGAGCACTTGTACACTGTGCTAATCATTTTACAGGCATCGTTTCATGTAAGTGGTCCTGCAGTCCAATGCAAGAGGGACCTTTATTGCCCATATTTTTGCAGATGAAGAAATTCAGGCTTAAGGGTTTAATTAACTTTCCCAGCTAGTAAATGGTAGAGTAGTACTTAATTCCTGGGTCAGTCTGGAAGCAAGTCTAAGCTTCTATCATTAAAATAAACTATACCTCACTGAGCAAGGTACTAAGTAAGGCTGAATGATAGGTGTCTTGGAGAGACAAAATCCTTAAATTCTAATTGTTCTTTATCAACAGACTATTTCCCTGTAAAGTGGTGCACCACAAGACTTTCTCAGATCATTATAAAGTTAATGCGTAGCACCCTAACTTGTAATCTTTCTTCCTTTCCTTTTCACTCCTCCTTTTCTTCCTCTCTCACCATCTACTCATGTAACCAACAATATTTATTTTAATAAATCCTTTTAAAAAATATTTATTAAGGCCCTACTCTATGTAAGGCATAGCTTCAGTTTCTGAGAGAAGGGGGAAAAATGTAGAAAAATGAGAGAGATTGTCAACGCTTAAAGAGCTCAAAATTGAGAG